CAGAAATTGAATAATTCTCCAGTATCGTCATGCAGTTGCGAAAAAAAATATTGTGACACAGACTGGGAGCAACATGCATGCCCCCAGAAGGCATCACTCCTGATAATTATTTGTGTATGGTCAGGCTGTAGCCCCGCTGAACATGGGTGTAATTTCTAGATTTATAGGCTGGATGTACTAACTTCGCATTCTTTAAAAGAATATTCGCAGTCTATAGGCTGGGCTGCAGTCAGGAGCTCAGACATAACAGCTGTGTCAGATTAAAGGGCTGGAATTGTCCCCATAGTTGTGTCCGGGGCTGATATCTATTCCTTGGTTCAGCTCCAGCACTAACCTGCTATGAAATGAGGGTGAGCTGAAACAGCAGGAATGAACTGTCTGGAGTGGAGAACAGCATTTGGCTGGCTGATTAGACTTGCCCAGGGTGGCTTCGCTAATATCAGCAAGAAAAACACATATTTACTGTATTCACCTGTGTCCAAAAGCATAGGCCGTCTCACTAGCCATTGAGGGGTTAATGTAACCCAAAATGCTCCTTCGTCTGACACAAAGCACATATAACTTATACAGCACCGAATACTCGTTTGCTCTTCTAATGGTGTACGTTTGATCACATCATTTTTATTATGGAATGTTTTATAGATTTATGTAGAGAACAGATTATATCACCATAATGAAAATATATTCGTATATATAGGCATGACATTTTTAGAACTATCCGAAACCGATTATTAAGGCTTTGTATTTGTACAGCAAGCTGAACGGTGCTTTACAACCACAAATCATCAAATCAGATTTCGTAATGGGAATTGTATTAACGATATATTACATAAACGAATAATAGAAAGAGAGAGAGAAAGAAAGATACATCATGTCAAATAATAGATAGATATATAGATAGAAAGAAAGAAGACAGAGTGATAGATAGATAGATAGATAGATAGATAGATAGATAGATAGATAGATAGATAGATAGATAGATAACTGACAGAGAGATTATAGAATTCCCCCACAGAGAAATGACTCCTTAGAAAGACAGAACTGTAGCGGGAAAAAAGTAGGTAGACAGCAAGAAGATGGATAAATTACACAATTTTAGATACACGGACATACAGTCAGAAAGATCTATAGACAGATTTAGACAAGTATAGAATAAGACTACAAAATAATAAAAATATGTAAATCAGATATAAATGAGAAACAGATATTACATAGAAAGATAGATTAATAACTGCATAGAAATATATAAATAAATGGCTGATAGAACAAGATATATACATAAATAGAGAAAATGGTAGGTGATAGATAAATAGACAGACATATGAGAGATAATTAAATAGATAAAGAGATAGATAGATAGATAGATAGATAGATAGATACAAACATGCATACATACATACATACAAACATGCATACATACATACATACCAGATAGATAGATAGATAGATACATACATACATACATACATACATACATACATAGCAGATAGATAGAGAGAGATAGAGAGATAGATAGATAGATAGATAGATAGATAGATAGATAGATAGATAGATAGATAGATAGATAGAAGATAGAGAGATAGAAGACAGAGAGATAGATAGATAGCAGATAGATAGAGATATATAGATAGATAGATAGATAGATAGATAGATAGATAGATAGATAGATAGAAGATACATACATCCATACATACTTAGCAGATAGATAGATAGATAGATAGATAGATACATACATACATACATACATACTTAGCAGATAGATAGATAGATAGATAGATAGATAGATAGCAGATAGATAGATAGATAGATAGATAGAGTGATAGATACACACATACATACTTAGTAGATAGATAGATAGATAGATAGATAGATAGATACATACATACATACATACATAGCAGATTGATAGATACATACATACTTAGTAGATAGATAGATAGATAGATAGATAGATAGATAACATTCAGAATGATGAAGAGTTGATAGAACCAGACAGACACTTATTAGAAAATTAGGTATTAGAAAACAGAAAATTAGGTATTAGAAAACATAGACAGACAGACAGATGACTGGTATTCTCCAGCAGCGATGTGCAGAGATGCCATTCTTTATACTCCAGTAATGATATTCGTACAAGACAATAGATGATCTAAACTGCCCTGTTTGTATCGATTCTGCATGTGCTCTCCGCTCTTCATTATCTTTTCAATTTACACTCTGTATCCTCCTCTCCATAGTATCCCAAATCTCCCACGATGCCCCTGGCCCCTCTCCCATAGGACAAGCTATCATCATGAATATATATTTTAGGGAGGTAAGATAATGTCACTTTTTGTAAAATCACGCATCAGTGACAACCTATAACACATCCATCAGTAGCATAGAAACAACACGAACACTATACAACCTGTACAGAATAATAAAGGGATGATGAAAGTCTTGGGCTGTCTAGAACACACTCTAGTGGCAGTTGCCATCCTAGAAAGGTGGAAACATTGGTTCTATTGTATCACTAATGTACAGCTGTGTTCTGTAACGAATATTCTCTTCGTACATGTCACATCACATGAAGTCTAATCTAGGATTGTACAATAAACAAGCAAATACACGAAAACAGAAATAAAATAAACGCCAAATTCTGAGTTTATGAGCAAGGTCGAGCTCATAAACTCAGAATTTGGCGTATTTTGTAATGCAATTCACCAAATGATCTCTATGTAGACCAAATAATAGGCTTGATCTGTCTTCTCTGCCACTCACATTGAATCTTTTTTCATGCAATACACTAAATTATCAGACGCTGAAATCATCTACATTTTTATAGATGGTGGATTTCAGCATTCGTCCCCAGCACACAGAAGAGATGACTTATTAAAGCAATGTAAAGTGCAATGACTGTGACGCAGTTGATTATAGCAACCAATTAAATGCCACCTTTTACAGATCTGACTAGAGGAAATTTATATCCGATCGATCGGTGCCCATTGGTTACAGTACTTAGCACGGTGGTAGCATTTATTAGGTCGTTTCATGTTTATGAGGATGGAAATATAGCCTTTAGATTTAGTGACATCACGCATGTCCATGACGTCAAACGCGAAGCTGAATACGTGAGGATAAGAAAACCTACATTTTGATTCAAAAATATATTTTTTCACCCAAATAGTCTCTTGACTAGAGGTGTAATATGTTAGAGGTGAACAATGCAATGCTTCTCTTCCATCCATAGAAATAAGCCAGGGACAGGTGGGGGCAGGCAGGTGCTGTGGGCATGTGGAGGGGGACTGGTGTGAGGAAACAGGTTACAAGGATCACATGAACAGTAAATGGAATGAGGAATCATGGATAAATATATGACCCTATAACAGAGGGAAGTAGAGCGTGTCCCAGCCAGCTACACCACATACACACACACACACGTTGCAAAATACAATACTGTTGTATATATATTCAATTCATAGTAATCAAAATGATAAGCACAATAAATAAACATAATAATAATAACAACAATTAATTATTAGTATCAATAATAAAAAAACTAATATATATATATATAAAAATACTTAAAAAAATTATATATATATATATATATATTAGGGTGTGTATACATTATGTGTCTAACTAAAGACCAGAGCACAAACTGCCGCCCTGTCAAAGATAATTTATTTATCTGGAATGACATCAGTTTATTATTTATCTCTAGTCATCTTGTGATGCAGAGTCAGATGAGAATAGAAAAAAGCCAAGTAAAGGAAAGTTACATATAAGTCATAGAATAAAAATAATACTGATTCTTGACTCGTGTGTTGTCCCTTTGCTCTCATCTGGCTTCACAATAATCAGGATAATGACTGTCTTCATGCCTCACCGCTTCTGCAGCCCTTGCAGGCTATGAGTGGCTGGCAGCCTTTTCTGTTTCGTGTTCCTCCTCTTTTGTCTCTTGTGATTATGTCATCCAAAGCCCATATATACATATATCTTTTTGTCCCTGGGATCGCATAAACTTCCCAGGCAAAGCTGGGGACTGTTTCCACCAAGCCCCCCACATCTCTGCTTGGGCTCAGTCACCAGCACAATACAATCCCTTAAATGCACATCAATTTCACCCAGAATAGCAGCAATTACCACCAAAATGCAAGATGATTACAGGACCCACTAAAAGCCTGCAAGATGGAAGGCAAATTGCAACCTATTGAAATGCTAATATCGGTACAATTTCCACTAATGAACTTGAAGATGTTTAATTATTTCAGATGTTCTGTACGAGGTGCATAAACACAAGACTCAGATCAGATCAACTTTAACACAAACCATCTTCATCTACAGTTCTAGTACATTTATGTTCAAACCAGGCTAAACAGAAGATCAACCAAAACAAAGTAAACAACAGCAATAAGCCAAATAAAATGTCATACTTGTAGGTCTTAGATTGGTTGGGTTCGTGTCTTGGTTGGCACTAGACGAAGGAGGAGAAGAGGAAGCCATATCTCCTGTGGAAAAGTCCTTTTGTCTGCTAGTTTGGATGAGTTTCCAATATCCTTATTTTCTAGGTGTCCAAGAAGACTGTGGAGGTCCACCTCAAAGTCAGTAGGGATGTATCACCTCAAAGAGAGAAGGAATGCACTTTTTAGATTGGAGGTGTTTAGAACGAGCCCACTTAGACTAGAATGACCTTGGATATCTAAAGTCCTTTTGACAGTGACCTAAATTCAGCCATTTGATGTGGAGAAAATCAGTGTCCCTGGCGCCTAAAGGAAGACTGAGATTGCACTAGGACTGAGAGACCAGCTCAAATGCCAAATGATTGTTTTTGTTTTTTTTTGCATGCTCCTAATCTGTATTCTGGCTGGGTGAGACCAGTTAGTAGACCATGAAGTCTCCTATAAATATGTCAATGGACACTAGATTCTCCCATAACGACTTGTGTCAGACTAATCCCAGATAGCAGAAAATTGGTAAAGCTATCAAGCAAAGAACCTGACAGACAAAGGTTTTGTTTAGTCAAATCATTAACCACTATAACCTTTTATTCTATATATCTACAGGTTATGTTTAGATTTACATGCAGTGCACTACAAACATGTACATTGCCTATCTCATACACCTAATTAATTGAATTACACTCATTAAAGCTTTGAGTTATATTAATCAATACTGTAGTTACATGTAGGCACAAAGCAATTGTTTGCATATATAAACAACGTCAAAGGGATCATCGATTTAAAAGCCACTTGTCATTAGGTTTTAGTAATAATAAATATGATGAATATATATTACTGATGTGAAATTAATAATTTGATTAATGCTTCTTCATTAATTTCTTAATTCGATTAAGAAATTCGTTATTATTACCCCGACTAGATGCAGAGGTCTGAAACAAAAAGACTTAAAAATGATAATCGTAGCCCCAGCCTAGCAGTGATGGAATTGGGAGAGAAAGGAAGAGGTGTAACAGGTTATCTAGGTCTAATCCGATTCAGATAACTGTACTGCCTTGGAAATAAAAAATAAAACTCAACTTTCAGATCTCAATAAGGATGTGTCATTAAAAGGCATAGAATTCATATGAAGCACACACACACTCAGGTGATGCTTACCTAGGATCCGTCTAGATGCAGGTGAATCTGCTGCTGCTAAGAATTTGGGGGGATGCCCCTCTTCTCCTCCACAAATACTTGGCTGGGCTATTTTAAAGCCGGAGAAGCAGTTAATGTCTGTACGCAGGCATGAGTCAGTGCAACACCTCCTCTAGTCCAGTATGGGTGTATCGACCGCATCACTTGCTGTGAGCTATCAGCTTGGCCACTCTCAACATCCAAGTGGCTAACGTGACTTGTAAGAGGGGGAAGCCGGCAGGTGATATGCCTGGGGGGCGTTTATGAGGTCCTGTCACCAAGAAGCACCCTTTAAAAAATTAAAAGAAAAGAAACAAGACAGAATAAGGAATATGACAAGACCCGGGATTGCTAGAAATGTGCACTGGAGCTGAGAGGGTGGAAGTATTTTTTTTTCTATGAGATGCTAATGGGAGGGGGGTGATCCCCTCTCTAGCACTGCATCCCACTTCATTAGGCTCAGTGATGTCGGTCACATTCAATACCATTAACTATTTCTCTGCAGGAGAGCTAACAGGATACATGTGCAAACAAACATCCTATAGTTTCCTATACTAAATAAAAGAGTGCATATAGAACTGAGCTGCCAGTTGCAGTAACCCACTGCAGCCAGGCAAATGCCCCCTTTCATCAGTTTCCAGCCACATCAACTATTCTTTGTGCATTGATTTTACTGATTCAATCTGCACCTTGTAACCCATTCCTGATTTTGTAAAAAATGATATAGATGTGCTATAGGAACATTAGTATTATATTAATCCCTGTCTTAAATAACTATCACTTATGCTTCTTTCCAAAGGTGCAACTCAACAGGTTTGATCCACAGTGGTAAATGGCCTGAAATGATCAGCGTCCTCTCTCCTCTGTACTGCAAATCTCATTGTGTACAGTAAAGAGAGGGAGGTCATAAAACCAGCACTAGGGGGCATCACAGCCCCACCGAATGAAATATATATTTTCCCATAGGAGCAATAGAAGTCTTGTAAGCACAATAAATAATTGGGAAATATTTATAGTCTATAGTTTATACTGTCTGTATTAGGGGCATACAACTTGTGTAGAATCACAAGTCCCAAGTTTGTCTATTAGCTATGGTAATGGCTTAACTCTATAGTCAAGGCTGTTAACCCGTTATCCTTGTGCATACATTACTATATATTTATGGTAGATAGCTGCTGTCATTTCTGATGTTATTAATCCCATCTAGTAAAGGCTTGTGCTCATTTGCTTTATACTTGGGGCTACATTGAATGCAATTCTGCAAGTACTATACAATGTAGTAACCAATATACCATTTATAATAAATATCACATGTTAAGAAGATGAGAGCTTTGTAATTTGCTGCAGACAACTACATCACATTAGTTCTTTGTGCACCATATATCAGCTATAGCCATAAGTGTTCATGGAATTTATTACATTAGCTTAAAACCAGAATTGCCATGCAAGAAGAAGGTACAGAGATTATGATATACATTGGTAAAGGAAAGGCTTTGGTACTATCTGAGTCCCTGACCTGGAATAAGTATGCAGATCTGGAGCTCTTATTTCACCATGTAGCTTTGTTCCAGGTCAGTGACTGCTTTCTCATAGAGAGCCAGGGAATTAGTATTTTCAGCAGCAGCGGCAGCACCTCTGAGTACAGGGTACCTTCCATTCAGCACCATGGACAGCAACCCCCGCGTCTCTTATACTATAGCCTTAGTACATGAGCTATCCGACCCGTCTGCAGATTCTTTGGCTGCAAGTTTTACACTGCTTGCCAATATTATGGTTTAGATTTTTCATGAAATGTGTATGTAAAACGCCTGGTATGTTATAATGGCGCCTATTCTCTTTCTGTTCACATTGCACCAAATGATTTGGTCTGCTCTATAGAAGTTCTGGAGTCCTTGGAAAGACATTGCCCCAGAGTTTAGCTATTCTCTCATCAATATGAGTCACATTGACTGTGGTGACTCATTGAGTGACTCTACCCTTTTAACATTTGTAATGCCCAGATAAGGTTGGGGAGAGTGTCAGACATAGCATGGGGCAGTGTCATCCCTCTGCATGATGGACTGATTATTTGAGGCATTGCTGTTCCACAATCCACAGAGCCCCATGACACGCTGGACCTCATTACCATAGATAGTGCAGTGTGTTAAAGATTTTGGGGTTGATATACTGAAGTCAAACTGGCTTTTTATTTTGCAAAGGAATTTTGCTGAATTCTATCCTCCAATTATGTGCAAGCAAAAATACTGTTTTTTCAATTTTTTCTTGTATGTGATTGGGTATTTTTTGCAAAGTTGATTTTTAACCATAAGCTAAGAGTAAATACCCTTGCGAAGTGAACAACCTATTTGCCTTTATTAAATAAACCCTAATTGATCTGAATGTAAGTGTCAGGTGAAGTGAGTTAGTGTTCACCTAAAACATCCAATCATGTGCAATTAAATTTAAACAAAAGGAGTTTCTTTTTGAGTGAGTAGCTCTGTATAAGTAGGTGAGTGTTCTGTCAGTTGCTGCCAGTCACAGGTTTGCTAGTGTAAAATAGGCCTCACATAACTGGATGTGTAAAGTGAGCACAGTTTCACAATTTCACATTATACCTTGGTAAATCACCTCCAATAGGTGACACAAAGAACATTTTCACCAGACAGGGGAGGACAGAGTGAAAACTCATTTTAATACACTGTTGGGGTCTCTGCTGGAAAAGCCTTAACGCCATAGTTCTCCTTTAACTGTTAACAACAATGTATCTTATTTGTGTATCACGCATCTGTAGATCCTCCAATCATCTCTGAATTGGAGCTGACACTGTCCTTCCTTCTGCAGGGGGGTTACCCCATGGTCCCTGTGTGTGTTGTAAAGTAACCACTGATCCAAGCTCGCTCCCGCGATAGACTTTCATTTCAATACAAATTAGTAAACTAAAAAACGTGAGGTTGTAGTCCATCACAGGAGTGAGCTTGGAGTGGTGACTACTTTACAACACAAAGTAGAAAGAATAGGTTACCAGCACTCAAAATGATTTCAAATAGATAAGTCCTTTTTATTGGACATACGTGTCACAATAGTCAAATAGCCATAATGCATAAGCATGCATAACAACTCATGTGTTTCATTATGGCTATTTGACTATTGTGACACGTATGTCCAATAAAAAGGACTTATCTATTTGAAATCATTTTGAGTGCTGGTAACCTATTCTTTCTACTTTGTGCATTACACGGTGCCATCCGTGGGAGTTACTGCAAGCACCTCATCTCTATTGGCCGGGATTGCTGAAAGGTGTGCGGAGAGCACCCTCACCAATTACTACTTTACAACACACACAGGGACCATGGGGAACATAAGTAGCCACCCTCCAGAAGGAAGGACAGTGTCAGTATGCATTCACAGATGATTTGAGGTCTACAGCCGAGTGATACACAAATAAGATACATTTTTGTTAATAGTTAAGGTACTTGAATATATTTTTAAGATTTATCTCCTGATTTTGGTGTCACTTTAAGCATCAGGGCTGTGAGGAAGGGGGTACACCCTTGAAACACATGAGTTGTTATGCATGCTTAAGGCGGTGATGACATCCTATCATAAGAATTGATGGCAGGATATCTATGCGTATTGGTCTGAGCGAGTCTCCATTGGATTGGATTTGATGTTTTGTGGGATTTTATCAAGTATCTTCATGAATAGAAGATATATTTTTGTTAATAAACATGTTGCCAAAGATTTTACATGAGGCCAGTGCTTTCTTTTCATCTTTTTAGTATTGTTTAAGGATTCCCCAGTCCACAGTGAGCTGCAAGACCATGGAATGATCTTGTATTCAGTTTTAGCCAAGAAACTTTGAGTGAACTTTGGAAGGAAGCAACCTACTAAAAAGAGTATCTTTTCAAGACTTGACCGCTGACATCGTTGTTTTTATATGAAAATTAAAAACACAGGATTTAGCCTTGCACATAAATGGATACTTGAACTGTAAATGGCTTCAC